TTAAAAAATTGATTTATTTTTAAATTGTGACAAAATGGTGTTAGATAGGAGAAAGTTGCAAGAGATATTTTTTCTTGGAAATAAACCGAGTAAATAAAAAAACTCCGAAATTTTTATTTTTATCAGTGGCGTACTATTTTTTTTTAAATTACCCGATGCGTATCACACCTACGCCACTGGTTGAAACTAAAACCTCTTCTTTTTACATTTAAAGTGTCTCTGTTAGGTAGATTCATATAATTAAATTTTATAACGATACCTTCAACTGTTAAAAAACTATTAAAGAATATCTTTAATTTTTCAATAACTTTAACACCCTGTATCTTGCGTAAGAGGCATTTCCGATCCATAGTGTGCTATATCAAAATTAATATTTAGACGTCCCCTATCACTCCTCGAAAGCATGACCGACTTACAGGAATCGCCCTGTATACAGGGTTGTTCACCACATACGACACGGAGTATTGTAGCTAAATGATTAGATTTTTACAAATTGTAAGTTTTGAGTTCGTTGAAGGACTATTAGAGCTACAATTTAAAAATATTTTTACAAAATACAGAGTGTCCCAAATAAATAAAAAATATCGTTGTATTCAACAAATATCAACAAATATCAAGTTGTATTTTTTTAAATGGAACACCCTATATATTATTACATTTTTAGGTTCTACGCTTAAAATAAAGGTAAATTTGATTAAGGTTTATTACACTTAAACCTTACCGTTTTTGAAATATTTTCAATTTTGTGAAATTGCAGTATAAATTTTAAGGCTTCATTTCTCCGAGGGCATCAAAGTTTTTATTACTAAATATTTACTGAAGTTTATTTATTGATCAGTTATTGTGTTGCAATAATAAAATCTTTACTACCTTATACAGAGTGTCTAAAAATTAATTTTAAAGAATTACTAGCTTTAAACGGCAATAATTTGTTTAATTTAAATGGAACACCCTGTATATTTTATGAAAATCAGATGCACAATTTAATTGTCTATCAAATTGTATTATACCATTTTTTACCTATCTCTTCAAGTTTTCGTAGAAAATGCATTTTATTGTAATTTAGAACTCATTTATCAATATACCCATGGAATACTGACATTTTAGATTACTTTTAAAGATGTACCAAATTTTTAAAGAGTACAGATACTAATATTGTCAATATAGTTCGTTTATTTCATTAAAAAAAACTGTTTAAATATTTGTTAAAAAGGACCAATTAATATGATTCCAGTATTCAAACTACATTAATTGACTGTTTGCGTTGATTAATAATAATTGCTCCAAATACTAAAAAGCTCAATTATGTATGTGTATTAGACAGTGTGGTAAAAAGTAACACCTTAAAGATGATATTTAATTTTTCGACAAATGCCTGTTTATAACAACAGAGACGTTCATTTTCATAACTTATTATTATATTGATTTCTTATTCAAATCCACATTTATTTAGAATAATTTATTAACGAACACAATTAAGTATGTAGTTAATTAGTATTTGGGCGGAAATACTTGGGGTATATTTAATTAATGGTTAATTATTACGATAATTTAATTATCGTTTTACTAAAAACGATAATATTACTAGCCTGTACGTTTTGTACATTTGTTGTTTTAAAAACAATCTAAAATGTCAATATTCCATGGGTATATTGATAAATGAGGTCTAAATTATAAGAAAATGCATTTTCTACGAAAACTTAAAGGAATAGGTAAGAAGTGGTATAATACAATTTGATAGACAATTAAATTGTGCATCTGATTCTCATAAAATATACAGGGTGTTCTATTTAATGTAAATAAGTTATTGCCGTTTAAAGCTAGTAATTATTTAAAATAAAATTTTAGACACTCTGTATAAGGTAGTATAATTTTTATTATTGCAACACAATAACTGAACGATAAATAAACTTCAGTAAATATTTAGTATTAAAAACTTTGATATTCTCGGAGAAATGAAGCCTTAAAATTTATACTGCAATTTCGCAAAATTGAAAAATATTTCAAAAACGGTAAGGTTTTAAAGTGTAATAAACCTTAATCAAAATTACCTTTATTTTAATCGTAGAAACTAAAATGCAATAATATACAGGATGTTCCATTTAAAAAAATACAACTTTGATATTTTTTATTTATTTGGGACACTCTGTATCTTGTAAAAATATTTTTGAATTGTAGCTCTAATAGTCCTTCAACAAACCCAAAACTTACAATTTGTAAAAATCTAATCGTTTAGCTACAATACTCCAGTGCCGTATGTGGTGAACAACCCTGTATATAAGTGTAGTATAGTATAAATAGTAATGTTTGAAAGTGTAATATAGTAATCATGTCTGTACAAAATGATTCTTGCATGTAGATGTAGAGATTCATTCACAACATTTCTAGTTTTGTTCGATGCATCTTTAGAATTAATTTAAATGAGCATGAGCTAGTCTATATTTCATGAAAATCGCAAAAGGAATAAACAATTCGAACATGCACGGTAGTTTAAATATAGGTATTATCAGTCGTAGCAGAATTGACAAATTCTTTTAACATAATCCAGACAGTTTTTTGATGTAAACAAAGTAACAAGAAATTGATCTGGTCTCTTACTACATTACTAGTTTTTCTCACATATAAATGTAATGAGAAATAGTCTATTTCCAGGTATAAGTATACTCGTCTATTTTTTAAAAAAATTAAAAAAAATCACATTATTTCAAATATATATTTACGTCTTTATTGGAAGAAATTGAAAATATATTACTAGTAAAAACAAATCTTTAATAAATTATTTTGGCTCTAAACAACTCAACAAAATTAGATATTATTATATTTATCTTTGCAAGAAAATTAAAGAAAATCGTTTGTTTTGTCCATCAAATTAAAAGAAAAATTTGGGTTGACTCAAAAAAGTTAATTTGGACACTGCTGAAGGTTCTTTTTCTTCAGTGTCCAAAATTTTCGAAAAATAGTTTATTGGTCCCTCTGTCTACTGATTAAATAAACAAGGCGTTAATAAATAAATACGTAAAACAAGATTGTTGATTGGAAGCGTGAGTTTCCCGTATAAAATTTAGGACGTCAATTACATTTGATCATAGGGTATACTATATGTTACTTAGCCGCTTCATTTGGACAATTTTGTCAAAATAACTATCAAAAACTCAATCGTTTAACGGAATTTTCCATAACTAAATTTGTTTATCGAAATGATTTAAAGTAATAATACTTCTTAAGAAAATCAAGTGTACTTATATCTGAAAAGACTCTGTATAATGTATAATATTCTATAATCATCTATAAAATAATTTTCAGTGGTACTACATAATGTAGGTACAGTGTTAGCAATTCGTTTTGTCCGACTTTTAGCAGGTTCAAACATCTTTATATTTTTTCAGATAAAACATTAATTAAACAAAAGAAATTAGAGTTTTTAGTGTCAATCCTTAATACATATTATCAAAAATGATATACTCTGTAAAATGTCACAGTTATTGATATAACAATATTATTATTTTTAAATAGAACTTCCAATTTATTAAAAGTGTACTATAGAAGTCCAACGAGAAGATACGTGACACTGACAGTTGTGTCTGATATTTTAAGTCACAGTTAAATAGTATTTTCTGTCATTTTTTGAATGTCATCTGTTGACATCTGTCCTATCTCGTTGATAGATAGCCCATTAAACTGTTAGATTTATTAGTGACTATAAATAGTCAATTTTTTTCTGATTTAAGATGTAGGCCTAACGGACAAAAAAATGCTTAAAGTTTTATTTGTACATTTTCTTAAAGTGGCGCTTAAAGTGACCCATAGGACTTTAATAGTTTACTTTAGGAAACTGTGTAGAGGTAAGTGGCGCTTAAAGTGACCCTTTAGGACTTTAAAGTGGCGCTTAAAGTGGACCCATACGACTTTAACATTTTTTTAATAGTTTTATTCTTTGAATAAGAAAACTAAGGAAGGAGCATATCAAAAATCTTAGGTACACCGCGATGGGCCTCAAATATGGCCGACTTAAATTCCGGTTTATCAGTGCCGTTCTAATTTTATTTAAAAAATGTAAAACTATGATGTAGGGTAGACGTGGGGTAGACTCAATAATGTGTTATTTTATTTTACGTTGTGAATAAATGTTGGTAGTTATTAAAATTGTTATAAAAATATATAATTCTAATAAAAATAGATAAGTTATAATAAGTATTTATTAACACAAACATCCGATACGCTACTGAAGCAGGTAAGTCAAATTAACGTATCAAAATTCTTTGACATCTGATCTTTGACAAGTAGTAAATAAAAGCTAAAATGCAAGAAAATATATAATTTAGTTAATTTAAGTGAATTTCATAAATGATCGGTTTACTACACATATGTATATTATATAGTCACTTACTAGCGAAAAGTTGTTCCATTATTTCACTCAATTTTTGCCGAGATCTACCGCACGCTACACAACCAACTATTTTAGAGTCTTTTTCGATAAATCGCGATAGTGTCACTGTTAATTTAAGTTCTGCCACAATTTCCATCTAGATTTACTACCTTTATACAACTATCAGTAGTAGAATAAATAATAAATAACATAAAATAAGCTCCGTAAAGACTGACAAATCCACAAAATTTCAAATCAAATTCAAATGTGTCAAAGGAATCGTCAAACAGAACTGTCAAGGATCCCCACCCTAGAGAGCTTTTTCCGCCCACCATGCATGAATACATGGATAGCATTATGCTCCTTCCTTAGTCTTCTTATTCAAAGGTTTTATTTCATTTTGGCCTTTGATTATCTTCCGTCAAGTAAAATTTTGGTTAGAAACATAGGTTAGAAATCAAAAGTTGATTGTTTTATAAGCTGAATATTGGGTTTTCTCTATGGATACCATTGACTAACGCAAGCTTTTGCTAGGATATTTTATTAATTTTAATTGTGTTTTTTAAACATTGCGAATGATCGTAAACTAAAAAGTATAAAATTGTAATTGAAAACACTAGAATTTATTCCACTAATTGCGAGGTTCTAACATACAGGAGAAAACCATATAAAATTTATATCAATAAATGTTTCATTTGACAGTATACTTTGATAATTTTTGGTAATCAGTATGTACCTATTATAATTGGACTAAAAACATGCAATTTATTTTTTAATAAATGTTCTAGCCCCAAAAAATAAAAAAAAATATACCTAGTTTGTTAAAAGAGCGACAAAATAAAATGCTAACATTGTACAGGGTGTCCCATTTTCATGTCTTTCATGGGGTTTCTCGCTTAAGTTATAGGGTTTTGGGAATAGTTCGTTACCCTTTTTGATACATTTGTTCTGATACATTGTTGTTTTCAAATATTCCTCGTATCTCGGACATTTAAAAAGTTATTGTAAACGAATTATTGAGAAAATCTTTACTTTCTAGCTCCCTTTATAAACTAAACACGCATAAAACACATAAAATTGAGACATCTTGCACAGCAACGGAAAGGATATTTTACATTTCACTGTTCACGTGACGTCGCATTCTCGCGTGCTCTGGCTATTTACAAAACACATAACATTTCACGTTTACCATTTTTAAAAGACGGTCTTTAACAGATTAGATCAGTCGATAAAACAAAAAAACCGTAACTGGTGCTCGCACAGGACATAGTTCTCGTTTCCTTACGATGCCGATGTCGAAGGTTTGTTCCAACTCGGTTTGTATCTGTTCAGTTTGAGAATCACTCTACCCGTACTCACAGTCTTTAAAATGGCCCCTGCTTCCTCGCTGCTGATGCTTTCTACGTTCTGTCCATTGACGGAGACTACGATGTCTCCTCTGGCAAGTTTGCCGTCGGCATCAGCTGCTCCGCCGGTTATCTGTAAAGAAAATGGAGGTTTATTAGAGAGTTTATGAAAAAAAAGGATACATTTTTGTAAGAAAATGAACATGACAATTTTAAAGTAGAGGTGTGTAGTTCGTGAACGAACTAGTTCCAATGAACTATTCCGACCCCGGAATGAAAGGAACTAGTTCCTGGTTTCTCAAAGAACTAGTTCCTCAGGACCTATTCCGGGATCGAGACTGTGTTCGATACAGAGAAATATGCGACGGCGACGGATCGGCTAGCGCGCGCAGCCCGAGGGTAGGCAGGAGTGGGGAGTGCTAGCCGTACGTTATCGGATCCGGACCTAGAGGAACTAAAGTAAATAAAACACTAGTTTATGTACGAACGGATCGGGCCAGCGCGATCGATGCTAGGCAGGAGTGGGGAGTGCCAGCCGTATGACGTATGTTATCGGATCCGGACCTAAAGGAACTAGAGGAACTAAATTAATAAAATACTAGTTTACGTATGGATCAGCCAGCGCGATTAATGCTAGGCAGGCGTGGAGAGTGGCAGCCGTATGTTATCGGATCCAGACATAGAGGAACTATTAAAAGACTAGTTCACGGGAATCTATTCAGTCGGCAGATTCGAGATATAATACATGGCGACGACGATGGATTAGGCCTTATCTATTGCCACAGCCAGCGCGGCGTAATTACCACAGAAAATTGCCGTGGATACTGTTTATGATTTTTAGTTTGTTTTTTAAATATTTTATGGGAATGTTTCACTTTAGGTCCCTAAAATTAAGAAATATCTTATAAAACGAACTCTGAATTTTAGGACAAAAACAAAAAGCTTGAAGTGAGGAAAAATGCAATTTTTCGTAAAATTTTTGTAATATTTGCTTCAATTGATTTGTGATACAGTTTTTTAAATTCTGATTTGAGTTTTTTTTTTATTTTTTTTATCTGCAATAAAACTTACCTATATGTTTTTAACATACACAATTACACGTCTCGTTATATCTCCGTACATTATAAACATTATACAGATCATACTGTATAATAGTTCTGACTGACAACGAAACGCATTAGCAAGCAAGGGGGATGTTAATGTTAGTCGGGAACTATTGTGAACTATAGACTTAGTTCAAGGAATTATTCCTCTGGAGGAACTAGAACTAAGGAACTAGTTCCTCCCAAGGAACTAGAATTCCCATCTCTATTTTAAAGTGCTTGAAAAGACCTGTTACATGCTTTTTTAAAAAAGTTCGTAGCTCAAAAACTCGCGGTGTTATGATAAAAATAAAATAGTCACCTCATTTTTTCGGAAAAAAATTAACAACAAAATCTATGCCTAAAATCATAAAAATAAAAACTATCAATTTGTAGGAAAATTACACGAGATTTTTGGGTTGCAGTTTGGTGAGTTTGGGCTTAAACAAGGTGGTCCTTACTAGTGATTTGTCGATATTTGAGTAACGCGATTTTGGAGCGGTATTTTTTTGTAACGTCTGTCGTGTCGCGCTCCACAACGAATCAGGAACCTGTTACTGAAGAACGACGATCATAATGACGTCAAAATTAAAAATTATTTATAATTTGCAAATAAATTATTTATAATCGCACTTGAAGTTAGCTCGAACCGTAGTAACCGCATAGCGACGTGTTTAGCTCCAGCCGTCGCGATTTCGTCGGTCGCCAACAGTAGTATCTGGAACTGGTACGCGACACCGGTTGTAATGCAAAAAAATTCTAGCTGTGAGCAGCAATTAAAACGAAAATAATATTTGCAATGGGAGATGCAGAATTTTATAACAATTTAAACTATATTTAACAACATTAAAACAGATTTAAACAATAAAAATAAATAGCAAACCAAGACATAAGATTTTGCTACAGGTGTTTTACGACAAGTCCAGCGTCTTCTGTTATGGACAGACGGGACTGTTTTTGAACATCTCTCCGGGAATTCATTAACTCTGTGGGGATGAAAGATACCCCACCTCCTAATTCTTGTCTAGATTAAACGGGCAATTTAAAAATAAGAACCTTTATTCTTTCGCAAAGATAAAAATCCATAGGCGCTAAGTCCGGCGGCCACGACGGCCAACGGCTGGGATCTTGGTTAGCTATTCAACTATTCTCGAAATTGACTGTAAAAATTTGCTGATAATTTCACCGTTTTGAAGCTGTATCTCGTCTTGCTGGAAAAATAAGTTTCCGAGTTCTATTAGGCACAGATCATCAATGAGGGATTCAAAGCCTACTAGTTAAAAGTGGCGAACTATTAAAAGTTCTGTATTTTGAAGGGGACTATAACAAGATAACAAGTGTTCTATATTTTTGGAAAGGAAATTTGAATTCCTTTCAGATAGTTAAAAATATACAGGGTGTTCCATATAAAAAATCAATTTTTCTGTTGATAACTCCTAAATTAATAATTTTTAAAAAACTATACTTCAGCCATTAAATTCTACGTAAAAAGGTGCTTTGGAAATGTTTTCATAAAATACACACTTTTCCATAGCAAAAAAGTTACAACAATTTGTTAAAAATGCACATTTTTTAAAAACACCCCGTAACTCCGAAACGGCAACAGATATCGATGTACGGTTTTCACCATCATGTTTTTGATAAAAATTAGGCTCCAGATACCGATATTAATTTTCATCTATCTCCTATAGAAAAGGATGTTTCCCTTTAAAAGCATCCAATTTGAACCACCCTGTACAAAATTGTAGTGATGGGAATACCGGTTCCACGTGAGTCGCGTTACAATAGCGACCGTTCCAGAAAAATATCGCGATTTTGTAACCGAGGTTCCGACTTTCAAAGTGTTGCGGCCCTCGTTAAAATATATCTAACTTATCTATATTTGTAGATAATTTTGTAGACTAATGTAACTTTTATCCGCCACTCATTTTCCAAATATCGAGTTTATAATTGTGTATAGCATATTTTCGTTTAAATAAAATAAACGGCTCATATTTCGGAACGAAGCACGTGGCCGCCGAGGTCGAGCGTCGATAATCAGTTACGGCAGTTACTTATGTTCGCGACAGGGAATTACAACTCTAGGAGCGCGACGGCTGGAGCGAACACGTCCCGATCGAGATCGCGCGGCGCTACGGGCATACCAGTTCCAGATACTACTGTTGGCGACCGACGAAATCGCGACGGCTGGAGCTAAACACGTCGCTATGCGGTTACTACGGTTCGAGCTAACTTCAAGTGCGATTATAAATAATTTATTTGCAAATTATAAATAATTTTTAATTTTGTCGTCATTATGATCGTCGTTCTTCAGTAACAGGTTCCTGATTCGTTGTGGAGCGCGACACGACGTTACAAAAAAATACTGCTCCAAAATCGCGTTACTCAAATACCGACACATCACTACAAAATTGTCATATTCATTTTCTCCGAAAAATGTGTTGTTTCGCCATTATTTTACGGTAAAATGTTGCAATTTAGTTTTCGAAAAATAAAAAATCACCTTTACAGAGTAATAACTCGGCTACTATTACACCTACGGTAATCAACAAAAAATGAATCATTTTTCATCAGTCAGTTTAGTTTTAGTAAAAACTTTTTAAACACACCATGTATATAGAGGAATACTTACAATATCGGCGATATAAACTCCTTGACCCGAATTCCTACCGACCACGCTTAATCCTAAGCCTTTGCCGGGCTTTTTCAAGAGATCGACTTCGATTGGAGTGTATTCTACGCTTGTTGGTCGAAATACGGTGATTTTCATCTGAAATTAGAGCACAGAGAAATTAGAACAATTGAGGATTAAGGGTTTTCGGGATTCTAACTAGAAAACTGTTTAAAACGCTCTTTCTATTAGTATATAGAGCGTTCTATAACTTGACCAGTTTAAAATTGCGATTAGTTATACAGGGTCCGGCAATAGTTCGTCGGGCATCTGTAGCTCCTAGAATAAAAAAACTTGGGAATTTTGTTTAAGTGCAAACTTAAAGTATGTACTAGGATGCATTTCAGGAAAATATTTTAACTTCTATAGGGTGGCTCACAGAAATGTGAGTGTATTGGGATGATTTTTTTTAAATAGAACGCCCTGTATATTATTGCATTTTTGGCTTCCTTTTAGATCATTTTACATAATCCTAAGACATGAGTAAATATATTTCGATAATTTCAGAGATATTAATAAATAAATAAAAATTATATACATATTTTTCAGCCCTTCTTAAAAAAAATATTAATAATACAAGAACTGTCCTGAAATCAAAACTATATTAGGCATTTACTTTAGATGGTCTGTACTTACTTTGCTATAAATATGGAAGTCGCAAATCATACAGGATGTTCAAAATTCTACGCCAAACTTTATAAAATATAAAATAATCTTTCTTCGTTTTTTTTTAAATGGAACACCCTGTATATTATTTTTTCAGTAGATGGAGAATTAAAAAACGAACTTTTTTTGTATTTAAAGTATTTCAAAATTTTTAACGGTTTCGCAGATATTCGCGGTTTTATACTTCATATGGCATTTTCCACAGTAAATTTTTATCAAAGCCACCCTATGATTTTTCTCTCGTATTTTACCATTGAAAGTGCCATATAAAATAATACTGCGTGTATCTGCAAAACTACTAAAAGTTTTGAAATACTTTAAATACAAAAAAATGTTCATTTTTTAACTCTCCATCTACTAAAAATACAGAGAAAAAATATTTTATATTTTAGAAAGTTTGACGTAGAATATTGAACATCCTGTATGATTTACGATTACCATATATATAACAAAGTAAGAACAGATCATCTAAAGTAAATATGTAATATAGTTTTGATTTCAGAACAGCTCTTGTATTTTTAATACTTTTTTTAAAAAGAGCTGAAAAATATACATTTTTAATTTATTTTTTAATATCTCTGATGAAACTATTACTATATATAACATATTTACTCATATCTTAGGATTATGTAAAGTGATCTGAAAGGAAACCAAAAATGCAATAATTCAGGGTGTTCCATTAAAAAAAAATCATCCAGACCCACTCATACTTTTTTGAGCCATCCTGTAGAAGTTAAAATAATTTCCATATTACATATTTTAAATGTCAAATTTGGCAGATACCTGCTGGGGAAAACATGCAACATTTCCTTAAGTCATTTTTAATCTAAATTAAAGCAGAAACCTCGGCAGAAACTATCGCCAAAGTTAAATTTCATCTAAGTCAATAAATAAAAAAAAGTTCCATATTTTATGTTCCCGTTATCCTGATCTGAAATGACGGTGCCTCGTCATTTTAGATCCGTTTGCCAGACTACGTCTCTTTGAATAAGAAGACTAAGGAAGGAGCATAATGCTATCCATGTATTCATGCATGTTGGGCGGAAAAAGCACTCTAGGGTGGGGATCCTTGACAGTTCTGTTTGACGATTCATTTGACACATTTGAATTTGATTTGAAATTTTGTGGATTTGTCAGTCTTTACGGAGCTTATTTTATGTTATTTATTATATATTCTACTACTGATAGTTGTATAAAGGTAGTAAATCTAGATGGAAATTGTGGCAGAACTTAAATTAACAGTGACACTATCGCGATTTATCGAAAAAGACTCTAAAATAGTTGGTTGTGTAGCGTGCGGTAGATCTCGGCAAAAATCGAGTGTAATAATGGAACGACTTTTCGCTAGTAAGTGACTATATAATATACATACGTGTAGTAAACCGATCATTTATGAAATTCACTTAAATTAATTAAATTATATAATTTTTCTTGCATTTTAGCTTTTATTTATTACTTGTCAAAGATTAGATGTCAAAGAATTTAGATACGTTAATTTGACTTACCTGCTTCAGTAGCGTATCGGATGTTTGTGTTATAAATACTTATTGTAACTTATCTATTTTTATTAGAATTATATATTTTTATAACAATTTTAATAACTACCAACATTTATTCACAATGTAAAATAAAACATCAAATTATTGAGTCTACCCCACGTCTACTCTACATCATAGTTTTACATTTTTTTTAAATAAAATCAGAACGACAGTGATAAACCGGAATTTAAGTCGGCCATATTTGGAGCCCATCGCGGTGTACCTAAAATTTTTGATATGCTCCTTCCTTAGTCTTCTTATTCAAAGGTACGTCTAAACTACCATCGAGCCGTAAATCACCCTGTATATAAAATTACTTTGCTTTCTCCAGAATTATATTAATCAAGGTGAGCGAACAAAGCTTTTAAACTCTTATAAAGTGCCTTTTATAAAAGAGACTGTCGAAACTGAAATTCTCCCGAGACAATTCCTTAAGTAAAACTTCTCGTGCTGCCATCACATAAGTTCTCAATAGCTTAGATCAATTTCACAATTTTAACAAAATGGCTATCTAATGGATTAAATCGATACAAACCAGCTATCTTTAAACTATTATCTTAACAAACTATATTTTACATATGGATTGAACGACCATATAATATGGTAATCACAAAACAATTTCCGATGCACGTCATCAACTTTGAGTGACAAGCGATGGCGACAGCGCTGCCAGATTGTGATGGATTTACGAGATGAATCTTAATTTAAGAGTAACAAACAATATATTTATTATATCATTTTTTTAAAGATTTTTAATTTAATAACTAATATTTTAGAATTAATTGATTTATTTGTTTTATAGCTTATTTTACTTATTACATATGCAAGAACTAGTCCATTAGGAAGATTATTCTAAGCGTTATTATGGGGTTATTTATTTATTTACTGATGTAGATACATTTTACAACGCCATACGTGGTAATAACAAGCAAGAGGGTGCTATTAATGCACAAACTAATAATCATAGAATTTAAGATAAACTAACTTTGAAAGTGGTATAATGTGCTTATTAATCAAACTTACTTTTTTAGCTGCGGTCAAGGATAATAAAGGACCTTTATTGACACGTTCTCGTTTAAAATAGTTTATCAGGAAAGCTACAAGCTCTTTGCTTCGATTGTTTAAATGCTTCGGCATGTTTTCAACACATAATTTCAAGAAATGCAATACAAAAACTCGAAAATTTAGTTCTTAAAAGAACAGTTTGTGCTTAAAAGTACAATTTTTAAAAATAGACTATGAAAATAGGCAAAAAAAAGAGAATTACTCACAAAGACTAAACAACAACACGATATTATACAAAATAATGACTGACACTAGGATAATTGTCATATAATAAAGAACATTGCTGAACGCGGCGCAATGTGACCAACATAGCGATAATAAAATTCGGTTTAAACTAATTTTTGCAGCTTTAATCTAAATAAAATATCTGTTACAATCATTTGCTCTATAAAGTAAAATGAAGAGCTGCTCGGTATCCTAAATTATACAACAAATTTAAACATTATTGCCAAAATTTCATTTAGTCAGGTTTATAGATAGTGTCAATGTCGATATGATTGATGACGTGCATCGGAAAATGTTTTGCGATTACATATTACATTGTTGACTGACCGAATATTTTGGTGTAAAAAATAGACATAATATTAGTTAATTACCTTTGGCAGTGCTTGTCTTAATGCTAGAGAAGCTGTCGTATTCGAACAGTCTCTCAGTGATACCCCGTTTACGTCTAAAATTTGATCACCTGGCTGTAACCGTCCATCTTTGTCGGCTGTCCCTTTTGGATAGATCTCCAGAAGAATAATACCATCCTGGAATTGATGTCCCATTAATTATAATAAAAAAAAACTTTACTAACTCTCTACTTTTGTGATTATAAATTTAATTAAGCACAAACAAATGTAAGAGGGAACTTGAAACTGTAAATAGGAAAATATGTAAACAGGGAAATAACTCCAATGCCCAAACATGTAAATAACAAACTGTGGTGTTGTCAAATCGAATTTTTAAAGCAGAAAACGAGGTATAGGAAAATTAAAACAACTTTGGCTGCACGTCATCAATGACACCATGCGTCGTCTTATGGAGTTTGCTGGTGGTCGTATTATGATGTGCAACCAAAGTTATTTTAATTTTCCTTTATATGATTTTACAATTCTAATTGTGCAGATTTCTGTTTCTATATTGTGGCAATTTTGCATTCCACAGCGCGACGCAAACGCGACGCGACGCGCGACGCTCGACGCTCTTAGACTGAATGTACCTTTATTCGTTCGCTCAAACGATAAGAATTAGTAGTGGGAACTATCGAATGAATACTATCGAAACATTCGATAGTTGCAATTCATTCGAATAATTCGATAGCTAGTAAAAAAACATTCGTTGAAAACTATTCGAATAAAAATTATCGAATAGATGCGTCATCTGCCTTGAAATATTGTATTCTAGTAATTCGGCAGCAAAAACCATTCATTTATAAAATTCATTCATTTATGAAATTCATTTATTCGTCAGGATCGATTATAATAAAATATTAACTGGATTTTAGTTGTCGCCCGGCGACATAGGTTTCTTTCCGAGAAACCCGACAGCGGTCGGTGGCAATGCTATGAAAGAAGCCGGCATCTTTGATTTTTTGCGGAGTCATATAAAGATAAGGACACATTATTTTTTTTTATGGAGATGCTAGTATTTACACAGAAAATACATTATGAAGGGCGCTGTTGCCATATATTGGTATTAGTTGATATTAAAGGATATTAGCAAAGAATATTATTGTTTGGCTTTAGTTAGTTAGGGATAGTATGTCATATATTTTGCATTTTTTTTATTAATATTCTGTTGTTACACTGCAATAATACTTGTTATTTTGGATGTAGGAAAATGATGTTTAATGTTTTTAAGCAAAGACTGGTTTAATAAAAAAAATAATAACAGTAATAATTTGTTATACCTATTAACAACAAAATTTAAAATAATTTAATATAAACATTTTTTTACGTAGTAGCAAAATATAAACAACAAATTAGATGTCAAAATTATTTATATTAGATTCTATTTAAAAATAATATAGTCTTCAAATTTTTTGGCAACGTTGGTTTATTAAATAATAATAATTACAGAACTAATTTGTTATATTAACAACAAACTTTAAAATCATGAAATATAAACATTTATTAATTTTCTAAGCATGCAGTGTAATGGAAGGAAAATATAAATAAAAAAATTAGAAATCAAAATTATTAATATTAGGTACTTTATATTACTATTTAAAAATAATATTTATTTTTACTGGCATTTACTTTAAAAAATAAATGAAATATTTCTTCGCAAAAAACTACATGTAAGAGAATTAGCATAAACAAAATACAAACATCGTTAACTTTTTTTTAAATTGGCACGTGTAAAACTTTCGTCTCTTCTTTCCAACTTTCGTAAAAGCGTCAATTTAATTTTCACACCCCATAGTTTGAGTTCGATAACCATTTATTTAACCACATTACTTAAATATGATTATTAAGTTCAACTAATTCATATTATTAAAACATCTAAAATACAAATATGTATTTTTAAAATTAATTCTAAGTTCATCTCATCTCTCTTAAAAATTGCTACTTCTCAAAATTTCCCTTTAAAAAATAGACCATATATACCCATATAAAATAAAATAATTGAAAGATGGGGCTACGGAAAATCACACAAATTTTCGGAAAAATTTTGACACCTGCACACGCACACAATCGTCAATTAAAAAAAACTACTATTTTAGTATTTTAAATATTTTAATAAACGCAAAAATAGCACAGTATTTATAAGGTGAAGTTATAAAAATTTGGAAGAACTAATAATGCCACTGACGTACACAAAAATCAAACGAATACTAAATTTCATTTTATCAAAAGCATTCGATAGTCGTGGCTCAACGATAACCATTTAGTTGCACGGCGAGGTTGTCACATATGCTTTAGTATACAAATGAATGAATGATTTTATTCGAATAAAACCATTCGATAGTTGAAATCATTCATTCAGTAACCATTCGATAGTCTAATTCATTCGATAGTTCCCATCGCTAATAAGAATTATCTTGTTTCGGCATGATTTAAAATGTCGAATGTCGAGTAGAATATGTAAAAAAAGTTCTGATCGTTTTTGTTATGTTTGTAGAATATATATTATCAAAGAAGAGAAGACCCATTGTTAGATTCGTTAAAATTTGCATATTTTCATTATTTTGGATTTCCTGTGGCAAACCAAGATAAAAAGTGGGTGCCTCATGTGTTTTGCGAAAGCTGTAGATTCGTCTTACTCCAGCGGTCATCAGGACAAAAAGTACACCTTCCATTTGGTTCATCAGTGCTATGGAGAGAACCTAGTAATCATGAAAATGATTGTTACTTTTGTGTTACAAAGACATTGGGATATACTTGTTGGTCCACGAATCCGTAAAATTATGAAAGATTCTAAGTTTGAAGGCCTGGAATCATTCCAAATGATTGTGGAAGAATTTTTGGGAAATAAAAAAAGTGAAAGTTACATAGAAATTGTTACCGATTTATTGGAAAATATTCAACAGATGGGAGTAAACATGTCATTAAAGATTCATTTTCTGCACTCGCATCTGAGTTTTTTCCCTGACAACTTAGGAAATATGAGTGACGAACAAGGGGAACGTTTCCACCAAGACTGAAAGGTTTTTGATGAACGACATCAAGGATTTTGGGATGAAAACATGTTAGGGGATTACTGTTGGTCCATTATAAGAGAAACTGATTCAAATAGCTATAAAAAGAAGGCAAAAATTTGTCATTTTTAATTTTTTTTAGTATTAATACCAACATTATGTATTTCAGTTAAGTAAATAAATATTTCTTAAACCAGATGTGACAGGATTTTCTATTATTTTTTTCTGGATAAGTCTACCTAAATAAATAATAAAATAACAAGTTTCAGCTGGGGTATGAAAACCATGTAAACTAGTGAATCAAAACTTTAACACCCTGTACCATGCATAAGATGCATTTCCGACCCAGAGTGTGCTATGTCAAAATTAATATTTCGATGTCCCCCATCATTCCCCGAAAGCATGACCCACTTACAGGAATCACCCTGTATTTATGAGTTTCGTTAATATACAGGGTCGTCCGAACTGTATTCAGGAAACTTCAGCAACATACATGCAGATAAAAATAATTAAAAAAGTTCGTGTAAATGTATGTCCTAAAATGCTGGGTGTAGAAGTTTCATTTTTATTTCGATTTTTTCCAAATAATTTCTGAAGTAGCGTCAATATTTGAATAAAAATTGGTGTCCGGCAGTTTTTTGACATGAGAAATTTGATTTTGATGTCAATATCACTACTATTTGTAGGGGGTGCCAGCGGTGCCACCTACATGTGTTTTAACTGTTTTGAAGAATAATAACTTTTCTCGTCCGTACCTGTATATATACTGAGTAAAAAGATATACATTTCCGTGATTTTTTTAAGTAAAAAATGTCTCTTGGTAAAAATTGATATGAAAATTTATATTCCAAATATCTCAAGAACCAATACGCGTAGCGATTTTTACCAAGGGACCTTTTTTAAGTAAAAAACGTCGTAAATGTATATTTTTTTACTCAGTAGTTTTATACAGGTACGGACGAAAAGTTATTACTCTTCACACCGGTTAAAAAATATGTAGGTGGCGCCCTCTATAAGTAGGAGACATATTGACATCAAAATCAAATTTCTCATGTCAAAATACTTCAAGACACTAATTTTCATCCAAATATTGACGTTACTTCAGAAATTATTTGAAAAAAATCCACATAAAAATGAAACTTCCACACCCGCCTGTATCTCCGAAACGAAGCATTTATACGATCTTTTTTACTTATTTTTATCTGCAGAATATGCTACCGAAGTTTCCGGAATACAGTTCGGACCACCCTGTATAAACTTGTATAATAACTAAGTGGAAACGTAGCATTTTTCAGTTTATCTTGGGTACCTTCGCTTTACACAGTATAATTTGTCTATATCATTTGTCTGAGCTTATTACCATGAAGGATTAACCACTGTATTACTCTGTTGTTTTTTGAAATAGATATCATGGTACAAAGAATACAAGGTATGATCGATAGCGGCTCCAATTTCGTTCAGTTCGCGCATACCACCTGTGACGTCACTAGGAAAATAATGAATAAATAAAAAATAAAGAAAGTTGACAGGAGATCTGCATTTTTTGGGGTTATGGTTAAGAATTGTTTATTTTTAAGAGTTTTTAGTTCGTTTAATTTAATAATTACTAAAACCAGCAGTTCCTAAAATATATTTAAAAATAATTATCTATTAACATGGATTTGGACGATAATAATAGAAGTAATAGAAGTAATAGTAAGAATACTAAATTTATTTCTATATTCGGTATAAAATTGTTTATTAGGTTTTTAGTTTGCGATGTTTATGGTAAATAATTTTCATGTTCATTGCCTCTGAATTCACATGAGGACAGAGATGAGGATATCTATGGAAAAGTAACCACAAGAGGAATTGTTACATCATTTAAAAAATGTTGGGAAGTTGAAGTTTCCCATCGAAAAGTAGAAAATGCCAATGCAGATGAATGTATTGTAATTGTGATAGAAGTAATTCCAAGGGTGAAGTCTATTATAATTAGTGACCTGTGCTTCTTTTTATATGTAGATGTTTCAGGTTTTGAGAATAAATCGGTTGAACGAAACCCAAAATTTAGAGGAAGTATTTGCATACCCAGAATATGACCATCAAGGATTATATAGCTCAAATTTCCTTTAATGGTAGGCAATTATTCAATGCAAATTAACTTTTTAAGTGACTGAAATATTAAATAGTTTACAATATGGTATATCACTAAAAATATATTACTTTTAGGTACAATTAGTGCCCGATACATTTCAAAAAGTAGATATTATTTTATATTAAATGAGGTGTTGTACCAACAATCAATTTATATTAATACCGGAGATTAAAAAATAACAGAATAAATAGTTCTTTTTTTTATACTACAAAAATAAACTATAGAATACAACAGTATTTAAAAAAATAAATAAAAAGTTATGTTCCGGCCGAGATTCGAACTCCGGTCTCTCGCTTCCTAGCCCGACTCCTTACGCACTGCTCCACAGTAACTTGCTTAGCGATAATTCAATGACGGTATATAAACAAAAAAACAGGTTTATAACAATATCTTGACGATTTGAACTGGCGCGCGGAGAGTGCTGACCATTAGCGCCAGTTATCACCTGTGACGTAGCGACCAACCTGCGCAATATCATACCTTGTATTCTTTGTACCATGATAGATATGATATACTTACGCTTATGACAGTATCTTTTCCACCAACGAAAGTAAGACCAAGTGTTTCATTGTTTGTATTAATTTCTATGGTTACTTCTTTACCAGGAACTATGCTACATGTAGCTGGATCAGCTGGGGGTTCTAAAATAATCAATAAGAAAACTAAATTAGTATTATTTCCAATAAAAAATATTTTTTTTGAAACAGTTCATTTTAAATTTTTGTTTTCAAAAAAATGTAAAAGGGCTTTTTGATAGTAAAAGTTGTTGACAGGAAGATAAATAGCTAGGGTTATTATAATCGGTTGCTCCTATATTCCAGATAACCACCAGATACCTAATAAGTTATTTGCAAGACGTAAATGAATGTGAATCCGGGTGAACTAATATACAGGCGAAGATATCTCCCGGGGGTGAGTTTAATTTAAGCTTAAAAGGGTTCTGGAAGGGTTTATCCAGGCGTGGGTAATAAATTCTATCTGATTAATGTTATAGTGGCAGTAAAACGCACGATTTCTCTATGGTTTTGATTGCGTATTGAATACAAACACTAATTAACTGGATTTTGAAATAGCTGAATAATAATTAATACTCGATTACTTAACTAGAATTTTGTTTTATCGACATTTAATTTATTTCATATTCTGTATGTTATTTAATCTTGCGATTGTGCCAAACCGAAGAGATTTCAACTTCTTAAAGATAACTTGTAAAGATTAATAGAAAAAATATTTTCTCTTTATCACTACATAAAACATTCGAGATGAATAAAATGGATCGAGGAATGTTGATAGACGCAAAATTCCTTCAGGAAGGAATAACCTGGAATAAAATAGGGAAATATCCCATACACTCTGAATCTGAATCTGATATCGGAGATGGTGAACTAACCTTTGCAAAACCGTCTTAGATACTAGCTTTTGTCAAATCCCCGAGATTGTATGCAGAGCTGTCACAAATCGTTTAAAAAACGATTTAAATCAAAGATCAAAAATACATTTCATTTGGAGAAATGATTTAAATCAACTGATTTTTTTATTTTAATCATGGATTTAAATAAAAAAAATCAACTTGTTCAAAAACTTATGATAAATCGAAAAATAACTGTAAAAGTTATAATAACTTTTCCTATAAAGCTATAAAAAAGTATTCCTACTCGTATAACAAATATATTGTATATATTCATCAAATACAAAGTTACACTGCTTGCTGTTGTAACGTTTAAATACTTTAATAAATCGAAAAATAATTGTAAAGGTATTATATAAACATATATACCTTAATATCTATTCATCTATAAAAATGTTGTACCAATTTTTGAAGTTATTTCGTGTGAATCCATTATACCGTATGATCGAAAAAACGGCGTCCAGTTAGCTGAGAAATGACGATCGATGGGAAATGACAAACTCATATAATTTTACATATAAAATGACAACGATCTTCATTTCATAGCCATCGCTGATGCCGTTTTTTTGCTCGATCATACTGTACTTATAAACGGCAGAGATTTATTTTGAAATTGTGAAGTGCCAGAAATCCGGTATTCGAATACATTTCATTCACAAATCTCTAGTGCAGAAATAGCTTTTTCTGTTGTCAGGTTATACTTTTATTCCCGAGGACTATAATCAACGTCAAAAAATATGCTAGTGTAAAGGCTGTGTTATATCTTTTTTTGAAACAGCTGAATGTTAATCAATAACTTCTGTCTTCCCTAATTTATCTTCTAGTTCATTCCAAATTTCTACCGAGATTTTGTGCTGCAATAAGTACTTTGCACTTTGAACACTAGATGGTTCTAATTTTAATCTCGACTTAAGACAGTCATGACAAAAAAATCCCTTTAATCTAGTTTTTTAGAAAGTATTGTTACGGATTCCGTGGGTCCACTAATTTAAACTCACGATAAAAATACTTAACGAATTTATTTTTCTCACTCTGTACACACAACTTGTACTATTTACAACACAATTTATGCAACTACTATTACTCTAATGGTTCTGGTACCTTGGCCAACTAATTCACAATTTAAAACGCGGTAATATCAAACTTCAAAACTGGTCCAACTGCCAAGCGCCGGCCTTTATATACCATCTGGCGAGTGTCTCTGGAAAGTTCTAAAGAATTCTGTAATATTCTTTTACTTTCTGGCGAATTCGCCGGTTTCTCAATGCACGTTGCGTTTTTCTTAGTAGGCAACCAGCAATACAGTTTAGCGCCACATACACCTTGACATTGCCCCTTTCTCAAATGTGATCGTCCCGATCAAGGTTTCCTGTCTGGTATCTCTTCAATCGATCCAGATGAACTACTTTCATCTTACTTCTAGGGCTGCGTTGAATCCGGTACACAACATCATTTATCCTCTTGATGACTGTATAAGGACCTTTCCATGCTGGAGTTAACTTTGGATGTCTTCCTTTCTTTCGCTGCGGGTTATATAACCATACCATATCGTCCTGTTGAAATCCCGTAGAATTAGCTCTGAGGTCGTAACGAGCTTTCATCCGGTCACTGGCTAGCGCAATCTTACTTCTAACGGCCTTATGAATTTCCAATAACCTTTCCTTTAGTTCATCTGCGTAGTCCTTTACGTTCGTGGTGCCGTCGTCTGGTGATCCGAACACCAAGTCACAAGGCAACCGTAATTCTCGACCAAATAAAATCTTCGATGGTGAAAGTCCGGTGGTGTTGTGAACTGCACTTCTATACGCCATTAGGAATAGCGGTATGTGCTGATCTCAATCTCTTTGATGTTCGTCCACCATTTTCGAGAGGTGTTCTTCAATGGTCTTATTGAATCTTTCGACCATCCCATCAGACTGCGGATGTAAAGCCGTTGTCCTAGTCTTGTGAATACCAAGCAAATCACACATCTTCTGAAACAGTCTTGACTCGAAGTTCCTTCCTTGGTCAGTGTGAAGCTCTAAGGGAATTCCAAAACTACTGAAGACATTATTGACTTTATACTTCAGCTACAGTCGATGCTTCTTGGCTTGGAATGGCAAAAACTTCTGGCCATTTACTGAAATAATCCATCGCCACTAAAACGTACTTCTAACATTGCTTGTTGCTTTTTTTCCATTTTTTCCAGACATTTCTTAATACGGTCCTGTTCTTCAAGTTTTTCTTCTTATGGACGCATTTCAAAACCTTGTAAAATTTTCTCGATCCGGTCCTGTTCTTCTTGTTTTTCTTTCTTTTGACGCGCTTCTAAACCTTCTAAGATTTTTTCTTGATTTTCCATAAGTATTTTCTGTAGGTGGCCTTGTTTCTCTTCTTTCTCTCTTTCTAATCGGGCTCGCTCTTCTTCTCGTTCTTTACGGAGTCTTTCTTGTTCTTCAGCCTTCTCTCCTTCGAAATGATTTAAATCTTTTCGAAAGTATTTAAATCTTTTAAAATATTTAAATCATATTTAATTCTTACATTAAGTTCAAAATCAAGTTCAAAATCACACATACATGGCCAAACTGAAAACCGTTCAACTTACCAGGTACGGGTGTGGTAGGTCTGGAGGGTGTGGCGGACGTCTTGAGGGTGGGTTTCCCCTGCAGCTTGCCATCGGAAACGCTGTTGGAAGCTGACGGGGTGGCCGTGGGGGTGTGAGATCGGGACGGGTCCTTCTTGCTGGGGTTGGACACCACCAACGTCACCAAACCCTCCGTCCTTTTCAGCAGGTTGGCCGCCTGAAATCAACACGGAAATGAGTCAAAGTCGTTTACGAAGAAACTGGGTGTGGCTGAATTAAATATGGAGTAGCATTTTTAGTTAATTTTTAACTGATTTCGGAAATATGTACAGGGTGATATACGACGTCGGCACGTCCTACAGTGGTTATTTCTTATGAACGTACGTGACCAAAACCTTTATTTTATTATATCAATGAATAAGCTCGAATATAAAACACGCTTTACAGAGTTAAAATATTACTAAACAACTAAATGGTAAAGAGTATAACTTACATATATTTTATGTTATGGATTCTGTGAATTTTAACGTTAAACCAGTATCAAGTACCTATAGTGCATATTTATGTAGGTACGTATATTGATACACACATACGTACATATGCTAAAGTTGGCGTATCAGTATTAACAAAAGATAAAGAGCGTGTTATCTGAATTCAGATAGTACTGTTTTATAAACTATGGCGATTTTGATACCAGAAACAAATATAGTTCCGGGGTTATTTGGTTCATGCATAATATGAATAAAATAATACTAATATACAGGGTGGTCAGAACTGTATTCTGCAAACTTGGGCAGCATATTGTGCAGATAAAAATAAGTAAAAAAGTTCGTATAAACGTATGTACTAAAATGCTTATTTGGGGAGAAACAGGGTGTGGCAGTTTCATTTTTATCTAGATTTTTTTCAAATAATTTCTTAAGTAACGTCTGGGAGTTTTTTGACATAAAAATGTTTATTTTGAAGTCAATATGACTCCTACTTGTAGAGGGCGTCACCTACATATTTTTTAACTGGTTTTAAGAGTAATAACTTTTCGTCCGTACCTGTATAAAATTATGGCGTTAAAAAATATACATTTACGACTGATTTACATAAAAAAGGTATCTTAGTAAAAATCGCAACGAGTAATGGTTCTCGAGATATTTGGAATCTAAATTATCAATACCTGTCATCATTGACATAAATTGAACATGTTGGCAAAATAGTTATTAGACTGAAATCATAAATTTGAAATGTTTTTGGGCCAAAAGTTCAACAGAAATCTTCAGAAAAAAAAAGTTTTATCATGATTTTTTCCAAGAAAAAATTATGATTAATTTCAGAAAATAAAAAGTTCCCAATCATTTCAGTCAAATAACAATCTACTCAACAGTATTATTTTTTGTCAATAATGACATGCATTGACTATTACAATTCTAAATATCTTGATAACGGTTGCTCGTAGAGATTTTTACCAAGAGACATATTTTACGTAAAAAATCAGGAAAATGTATTTCTATATAGTATAATATACTATATGTATATTTTTTCACTCAGTTGTTTTATGCAGGTACGAACGAGAAAAGTTATTATTCTTCAAAACAGTTAAAATATATGTAGATGGCGCCCCCTACAGACAGGAGTGATACTGATATCAAAATCAAATTTCTCATGTCAAAAAATTCTAAGACGCTAATTTTTATTAAAATATTGACGTTACTTCGAAATAAAATAAAAATTCTACACCCTGTATCTCCGAAACTAAGCATTTTAGGACAATACATTTATACGAACTTTTTTACTTAGTTTTATCTGCAGAATATGCTGCCGAAGTTTCCGGAATACACTTCGGACCACCCTGTATTTTAAAGAAAGACTCACTCAGATAGTATTACAGACGCGTATAAAAATAATACATATTTTGGGATTGAAGAAGAATTAGCGAAGAAAATCTTTCTTCGCTAAGTCTTTTATACATGATTTTCTTATTATATACAGGGTGTTTCAAAACAAATGCGAAAAACTTCAGGGGGTGATTCCTTGTTCAAAATAAAGGGTAGTTTGCTTTATAAACGTTGGGTCAAAAGTCAACCATTAGGGAGATATCGCAGTACAAAGATGGCGGAAAAATAATGCTTTTATTTTTTATCTTGAAAACGAAAAGAGATAGACTAATGAAATTTTATGGAACCATTACTGTTATGAAAATACACTTTCAGGTAATTTTTTTACTTTTTTAAAATGAGTGGAAGGGGTTGAAATAAACTACCCCTATCATTCTTGTTAACGAAATTTAAAGAAAAATCTTATCAAACACATGCAAATGCTTTAATTTGGATAGTTTAGTTTGTTTAGAAACTTTTTTATCTCTTGTGTTTTTTTGATAAAACTCACCGATTTGAAATTAAAAAATAAAATGTAAGGCATTACATGTCAGGACAAAAAACATTTTTAGATTAAGAATCTAGTGATAATAACGCTAATAAATAATCATCTAGATAATAACGTATTGCAGTAGAGTAATGTCAAATAAAATAATATTAGGAACATCCTAAAAAGTAACAGCGGCCGACTAGATTTTTTCCTAAAAAAATTACAGCAGCCCAATAGACTCTTTATCAGAAAATGTTTTTTGTCCTGACATGTAATGCTTTACATTTTATTTTTTAATTTCAAATCGGTGAGTTTTATCAAAAAATACAAGAGATAAAAAGTTTCTAAACAAACTAAACTATCCAAATTAATTTTTTTTGCATGTGTTTGATAAGATTTTTCTTTAAATTTCGTTAACAAGAATGATAGGGGTAGTTTATTTCAACCCCTTCCAGTCATTTTAAAAAGTGAAAAAAATTACCAGAATGTGTGTTTTCATAACAGTAATGCTTCCATAAAATTTTATTAGTCTATCTCTTTTCGTTTTCAAGATAAAAAATAAAAACATTATTTTTCCGCCATCTTTGTACCGCGATATCTCCCTAATGGTTGACTTTTGACCCAACGTTTATGAAGCAAACTACCCTTTATTTTGAACAAGGAATCGCCCCCTGAAGATTTTCGCATTTGTTTTGAAACACCCTGTATATCTTATTCAATAGTTGGAGGTAGGTAGGGATGCATCGATGGTTAAACGATGTTTTAATTTTTTTTTCTGGGTATGCAATTGAAAGGAGGACCTGTAATAGAGATGTACTTACCGTATCATAGTTCGATCCAACTAGAGTGTCTTTATTCACCGCCAGAATCATTTCTCCAATTTCAAGGCCAGCCTTTAAAACAAAAAACACCAATTGAGCAAATCGTAACCAAAAAAAGAAAGGGGGAAATCTACGTTAAAGCTAATTGCTACATCGAACGAACAGCTACAACTAACTACTTGTAACGTGCCATGCTGTGCACTTTCATAATATCATGCATCCTAATATCTAGAGTGTTAGTACTTTATTTTGTCCCACACGTACATATCTAGCAGGCTGTTTAAGCTTAAATATTCCTTAAAAGTAAATAATTATACGGCTTTCATATTCAAGTTTCAATATAATTACCAAAAATCAAATTTACTGATATAAATTATATTTTTTAATGGAACACCGTATATATTTCATTAAATTAAAGTACCGTATGATCGAAAAAAAAACGGCGTCCAGTTGGCTTGGAAATGACGATCGATGACATTCCCCATATAATTTTATATACATAATGACAGCAATCTTCCTTTCACAGCCATCTCTGACGCCGTTTTTTTTTCGATCATACGGTAAAAATAAACTAGTAAAAAAACTTATCAAACTAATACACATCTAATATACAGGGTGAGTCTTAAATAAGTGCAAATATTTTTAGGGGTGGTATATTTCGACCCCAGAACACGTCTATGAGATTTATTTCGAAAAAAAGATGTTGAAATCGTGCATTTTCTTTTAAAATTTTCAGTATATTTTAGAAAACTTTTTAGAACTGTTGACATATATTATATCTCTGACATACCATATTACCATTTTTTTTCCATAACAAGGGGCCGTCCTCTGCCGTAAACACTGCGACCTGTGAGGCCTATTATGTTTGAAACCACCATATTACCATGGTTACGGCACTAAAATAGATCCAAATACAGAAAAAATTTGGTGGCCATCAAATTTTTTTAAAAATATATATTTTTTAAAATGATTCTTAAACTGAATTCTTAAAAACTCGTTTATTTTGAACATGTTTGAAAAACGGTAAAGAGAAAATAATATGTTTCTTTTATTGAGATCTACCAGCCCTGAAAATATTAGCACTTATTTAAGACTCACCCTATATAGATAGGGTGTCAAATTTAAGAAAAAAAACAGTTTATTTTATATTAATAACTGTGTCGCCATTGCAATTTTACAAAAATTCCATGATTTGATTTTAAGCTTCTAGTTCAAAAAATATAAAAGTTAAAGCCTGTTAAATTGTAGGACAAAATAAAAATAAAATACCATATGCAGTTTATTTTATGACCTGCCTCACTATTTTAATAATTTATAAGTATAAGCTAAAAGTTGTGCATTAAAAATATATTTATTGCTAAATTAAGCTATGTTAAAAATGGTTTTAAACACAAATATACTCGTATTACCAAACTACTTAAAATACTTTTCTTATTACAAAAAAGAAAATTCTCTTAACATGTACTTATTTACAAAAATATAAATAATATATGAAAATATTAATATACTTTTATACCTATCGCAAAGGCAAAACTTAAAAACTAAAGAAACAAAGATGATATCCAAAGATTTCTTTGAGGAAAGGAAATTATTTCTGTTAAAAAAAACAAAAAATGTTTTTGAGATCATAGAAAATCGTATAGTAAAAGTAATCGTATACATGGACGCCGGACAGGGGGGGCAAGAGGGGGCATTTGCCCCCCCCCCCTGGCTCACTGAAACAGTAAAAATAAAAGCTATCTTTTTACATCCATCTGTAAAAAAATAATCATTATTATGAAATTTTGGTAATTATTGGGAAAACTGGAAATCGTCAGATTTTCACCAAAATTGGTATACACATACACCCTATTTTGAGGTCGTAGATTACGAATCTGAAGTTTTTTCTTGGCGGTCTTTTACCGTTTTTCAGAAAAACGGAAAATTATTTCAACATCAAATTTTTCTTAATTTCTCATATTTTTAAGGTTTTCTAGCGCATATTTTGTTAGGCATTCAATAAACAATGATGTCATTGCTATTTTCTGTTACCTTTTTAACCAATTCTATGCATAATAGAGGAAAATTTGCTAAAATAAATTTGTAAACAATCTGAAAATGTTGGGTTATGTGTTTCTGGCATTTAAAGCAACGTTGCCAATGCTAAATCTAAATTTAGCGTGATTTTTTCGCTCATTCTGGGATTACGAAAAGCGGTCGCCAGAAGAACGGCTCCTTCCCATAATTTCTATTTTACCAACGAGAACTAACTATTTATAACCACGAAGTTTCACGAAAGAGATTTGATTGCATTGCTTACAACTTCCATGCGGAGGGTGTTAATCTTTTGTTGTTATATTATATCAAAAAAAAGATTAACCCCCTCCGCAAAGAAGTTAAAACCAATGCAATCAAAACTCTTTCGTGCAACTTCGTGGTTATAAATAATATAATATAACAAAAAAAAAAGATTAACCCCCTCCGCATAGAAATTGAAACCAATGCAATCAAAACTCTTCCGCGTAACTTTGTGGATATAGGTAGGTAGGTATATTTAATTATTTGTCGATCTCATAATAGGAAATTTATTTAAAATCCCTAATCACCCGAAAAATAGAAGATATGGCAATGTTGTAAATTTTCAAATTTCTAGATTAGGTTTAGAATATATTTGTCTCTCTCATTACATAGGAGAGAGAAAGAAGGATATATCAAATGTCAAACTTCCGTCTGGTCTCAATTTTCTTTGTTATTTTGTTAAGAAAAGTGTTTTTCAGTAAAATTTTGGACATTTTTCTATCCCCAATCAAGTGCAGCTTTTAGATAAACTATAATATAACGGAAATATAGTGAAATTATTACTTTATAGGGCCGAAATAAAGAAAAATTCAATGTTGAAATAATTTTCCGTTTTTCTGAAAAACGGTAAGAGACCGCCATGAAAAAAGTTCAGATTCGTAAATAATCGTAATTTTGGTGAAAATCGGACGATTTCCAGTTTTCCCAATAATTACCGAAATTTTTAGGTGTTACCTGTAAAATAATTAAAATGTGTTTCAATTTTTTATGCATTTTTACCTTGCCCCCCCCCTAAACTTCATTCTTCCGGCGCCCATGATCGTATAGTATAAGTAATATAGTAAAACATTAGTAGATATCTTATAGAAAAACATTACTTTGTGTAAGATTTAAATAATAACGAATATAAACATAATTGGCTATTTGGCTGGACTCCATTTTGAAAACTACCGTACGATCGAAAAAAAAAATGACGTCAGCCATGGCTATAAAATGAAAATCGATGTCATTTTATATATAAAATTATATGGGGAATGTCATCGATCGTCATTTCCAACCCGCTGTTTTTTCTCTTCGATCATACAGTACTATCAACAGTGATTGAAACAGTCGGCAATACTGTATTAGAAGATTAGTGAATGGTATTGATGCTAAAACAAATTTCGATAAAATAATTCGAAATGTTAATTAATTGGGGTCATTTTTTGACCTTTTTTTGTCTTCTTGGAAATTTACAAGTTTTGACTTTGTTATTTGTGAAATCGACATACTTTTCAATATAATAAAGACTATTTTTCAATACGACTATAAATGTTCAACATAGAAAAGGAATATTTATATACAGGGTGTCCCAAGCTGAGCGTGTATTAGAAGTTTCTAGAGGACTACAATATCTAGATCGGAGATTATTTGTACATCATTGTTTTATAACGAGATCTATCGATTAAAAATATTTTCAATATGGAGGCACTTCCCGAAATACCGGAAGTTGACAGAAACTTTCTTATTTTAAATGGACGCACCATCTTTTTTCATACACTTAAATTCTCTGTAAAATTCTAGGAATATTGATGTTAAATACTCTCATATCTAACATTAACTCTTTTTGAGAAAAACAATATTTAAAATTTTTGGACGAAATAAACCATCTGTCAAAAAAATTTGTATAGCCTAAAAGTTAAATTTAGTGATTGCCACAGCCACTGTGACATAAAGAAAAGACATGTGGCTATCTATTTCGAAAATTAAATTGTTCAAATGTAATATAATAATGGCTGTAACTGTCATGGAATTGAGCGATTAAAAAAATAAAAATATCATTAATAATTTTTTTCCAATGAAAACCCGCTTCTTTTATTTCACTAGTGAAAAGGTTTTCCAATTCGTTACTTTTTGAGTACCTATACATGTTCCTATACCTAAAATAACTCGTTTTTAAGTTATTTAAGAATTTAGTTTGAAAACGTATATTTTTCTTGATTTTATCTAGCTTCCTTTGACATTAAGTGTCAAAGAAAACGAATAATTTGAATTTGCTATATTATAAATACTGCCTGCCTTAAGAGTTTAAAAAGTGTATTTATAAAAATATATCTCGTATTTTCGCTCTTTAGTGATATCTAATAGTTGATACTATTAATATTTAATATACCATATATGATCGAAAAAAGAAACAGCGCAAAGTTGGCTTGGAAATAATGATCGATAACATACTACTTTTTGAACAAAGTCTCACAATATGACCTGTCCAAATCTATTGTTTTACATCACTTGACATTTAAAGTCATAGGCTACTGGTTAAAATCAATTTCTTTATGGCACAGTGGCTGCGGTAATTATTAAATTTGACTATTAGGCTATAGGTACAGATATTTTTGACAGGCAGTTTTTTTGGTTCAAAAATTTTAAATATTTTTTTCTCAAAAACGGTTAATGTTAGGTATAGAATGTTTAATATCAAAATTCATAAAATTTTACAGAGAATTTAAGTATGTAATAAAAAATGGGGGCACCCATTTAAAATAAGAAAGTTGCTGTCAACTTCCGGCATTTCCGGAAGTGCCGCCATATTGAAAATATTTTTAATCGATAGATCTCGTTGTAAAACAACGATCTGCAAAAAATCTCCGATCCAGATATTGTAGTTCTGTAAAAACTTCTATTGCACGCTTAGCCTGGGACACCCTGTACACATTGTACTTTACATAATAATTCTTAAATTTATTGCCAACTATTTTATTGTTGATTAATCTGTATACGTATATCATTAACCATTTTTTTCGGTATTCAATAAG